CCTGCTTTTGCCTCTGAGGGAGACATTACCTTTATTATACTAGATAGTGAGCGTGACTTCCCTTTGCCCCAAAGCAAGACCCTGTCTCTGTCTTGGGAGGGTGTAAGCCAGTTTACCAGCCTTACCACTGTGGATGTTTAGGGCTGGATAATCAGTTGTGGGGACCTGTCCTGTGCAATGTAGGATGTAGGATCTCTGGCCTCTGCCCACTGGATGCCAGCAGCACCTCCTCTCCCAGTTGTAACCACCAAATGCGTCTCTAGATGTTGTCAAATATCTCCTAGTGGGCAAAACCGGCCCTGGTTGAGAACCATTATGATAAGCAGACTCACCCTTTGCTCCAGAGGAAGTCACCATCTGTCTTTCAGAGTGGCTCTCTATACAAGCATCCTCGACCAGATAGATGGTCCAGAACAAAGGACACTCAGCGGCTCATTTTTGCAAGATGTGCAGAAGTGCACGTGATCCGTGGAGAGTTGGCTCCCAACGTTGGTTTTAACTTACTTGCATTGAGGTTAAAGGAATGTTGTTCTGTGTGCCATCGATTCTTTTATTTGTTGGGAGTTTTTCGTGGCCTATCTATGGTTTTGTGTGTTTTCTCTGATGGTTAGGTGCAAAGTTTGGTGTGTGTTGGTTAGGTCAAGATTGTGACATTTTTGTACAGATCTTTTATGTCTGTATGACTTTTGTCTGTGTGATCTGTTAATTACTGGGTGAGGTACGTAAACCTCTCTGTTGGCGGATTTGCCCATTTCCCTTGTAATTCTGTTACCTTCTGCCTTCTGTAGTTTGAGGTTATACTGTTAGGTACATCCCCAATATGTGAGCTAGAACACTGACGAGTAGTTTACATCTGGGTATTTATGAGCTCTGCTTCCTCCAGCCTGGGGTAAGTACTGTCCCATCCAGCTCATTTCCTTTTTATCCTTGATTTTTAAAAATCATACCACATATTTCCCCATTTGTTGGCTTGTGAGTTATGTTCATTTTATAGTCCTTAAGTGATTTTCTTTAAAATCTTAAAACACGTACCTAAGAAAGAAATCTCACATTTCTCTCTCTCCTCCTGATAATCCAAGGAGTTTAGAATGCTTTGACTTGAGTCAGCCCCTCTTCTTATATACATTTTAGTCTAATATTTTCATTTTATTCTCATTCCCTCATGCAAACATTATTAATATATATTTATTATTGTTGCTTTATACAGTGTTTAAATTTCCCCACTTTTTTTGCTCACCATTCCTTTTTCATCTCATTTTCCTTCTTGAAGGAATTCCTTTAGAAGTTCTTTAGTAGGAGTCTGTTGATGGTGAACTCTGAATTTTTGTCATCAGAAAATTTATTTGCCTTCATTCTTGGATGATAGTTGGGTATACAGTTCTAAGTTGACAGGGTTTTTTCCTCAGTGTTTTGAAGATAACGCCTTCTGGCCTCTCTTGTTGCTAATGAGAGGTCTGCCCTTGGTCCAATTTCCATTTATCATTTTTTTATAAGTAACCTGTCTTCTTTTCTTTGGGTATTCTTAAGACCTTTATGTCTTGGTCTTCCTCAGTTTAACTAAAACATGTCTAGGTGTAGGTTTATTTTTATACTTTTGCTTGCAATTTGTTGTAACTTTTAAATCCTTAGAATCACACTTTAATCAATTCTAGAAGATTTTCAGCCATTATTTCAAAATGTCCAAGATAAGTTACATTCTAAGCATTCAAAAGTGAGGGAAGGAGAAAAGGAAGGAAGGAGGGAGAATGGATGGGACGAGACTGCTCTTATCCCCAGGGAGAAGTTAACGCTGAAAGGAGAAACAGCATAGTTCCACAAATGTTTGACTCTACAGCCAAGGATAAAAGGCCCACCTTGGTGGTGCAGCGGTTAAGAATCCGCCTGCCAATGCAGGGGACACGGGTTCGAGCTCTGGTACGGGAAGATCCCACATGCCGTGGAGCAACTAAGTCCCGTGTGCCACACTACTGAAGCCCGCGCCTAGAGCCCGTGCTCCGCACCAAGAGAAGCCACCGCGAAGAGAAGCCTGCGTACCACAGTGAAGAGTAGCCCCTGCTCACCGCAGCCAGAGAAAGCCCACGCGCAGCAGTGAGGACCCCACACAGCCAAAAATAAATAAATTTATGGAAAAAAAAAAAAAAAGGATAAAAGGCTCTCCTCCTCCAGCAACACTTACCTGGAAACATCAGGCCCGTTGTCTCTCCTGCCTTCCCGTAGCATCCTGTTCTTCCCAGGTCACAGCACAGCACATGGAGTTGTCGTGACCTTTTTCCTTTTCTCTAGGTTAAGTTGTGAGCTGGCCCGTGAGCACCACCAGGACAGGGGCGGTGCCAGGCTTGCTTCAATTGTATCCTTAGCACCCAGCCCAGTGGCTGGTGTATGCAGATGCTCAACAAAACCGCATTGCATAAGGGAATGAATCATTTGAGGGTAGTTATATTGAATGACTAAGTACCAAGTACTGTGCTCAATGCCACAGAAAAGTGGTTTTCCAAAGTTTTTGGATTTCACTAGCCAGTAACTTAAAAAAGAAAAAAGAAAACTAACATTGACCTTATATGGAATTTTAAAATATCTACTATAAGCATTTCATGAAATGTATTTTAACAGTGTAAAACTAGGAAGAACATACTAGGATACTATTTCCTTTTATGAAAAACTCCCTACATTGTCTCTTAAAATTTCATTTCCTGGCTGATCCATAAAAATCTCACCATCGAGTGGCTCCTAGTCACAGAAGGGCTACTGCAACCGCTGGTACAGGAGAGAAACACAGCAGGAAGTGTGTGTACCTGGCTCAAAGAGCTGTCCCATTCAGGAGGGGGGACAAGCGGCACAGTAGACGCCCAGCCTTAAAGGTGCAGTGCCTCTCCCCATCCCTTGGCGGAAGGACAAAGGACTCGCGCACCCGGAGTCCCGGGAGGACCCCCATCAGCGTGGAATCCCATGCTGTTTCCGATTGAGCTCTCACAGCTAGCTCGAGAGATGCTATAATTCCTCCTGTTTTACAGGTACAAGGAGACTTGGAAAGAGTCCCCTTTCTTGGGGAAGGTTGCCCAGGATGACACGGCCCTAATAATTGGGCGAGCGTCGAGCTTGCGACCTCGAGACCTCCAACCCGGACCCTTGCAGTCGGGCTCAGTGCGGCCTGCCTGGAGGAGTAGGACACGGGAAACCTCAGTAGAGAAGGGACTGGGGAACATCCCAGTGGGATGAACTCGGGCCAAGGTGGATCAAGTTGTACCCCCCCACCCCCCACCCGCACGCCTGTCGGAAGTCCTGAGACGCCGGTGCAGAGCTGGGAGTGGGGGAAAGTCAAGAAGAGAGGCGTGGCCCGGTCGCGTTTCGGGGCGGGGTCTGCACGGTGGGGCGAGGCCGGCGGCAGGGTCCGGGTGAGGCTGTACCGGGGCCTTGGCAATCGGCGGGGCGTGGTCAGCGCTGCGGGGCGTGGTCTGAGCTTTGTGGCTTGGTCATGCCGGTTCCGGGCGTGGTCTGAGGAGCGGGGCCTGCACCAGTGCACGGAAGCCATGGCGAACGGCGGGGCGTAGTCTGAGCTTTGGGGCGTGGCCATGCTGAGTGCCGGGGCGAGCCCAGCGCTGCCTGTTGGGGCCCACTCGGGTGCGCTGCAGAAGCTCCGGGGACCACGACAAGCGGCGGGGCGGGGCCTGCGCGGTGGGGCGGGGCCTGCGGCGGCCCGGTCCAGCGGCGGCGCGGGGCCATGGCGGGCAGCGGGCGTGGGGCCGGCCGGCGGGTACTGCACTCAGCGCAGGCCGAGGACGTGGCGTCGGCCTCCAACTTCCGCGCCTTCGAGCTGCTGCACCTGCACTTGGACCTGCGGGCCGAGTTCGGGCCTCCGGGTCCGGGCCCGGGCTGCCGCGGGCTGAGCGGCTCGGTGGTGCTGGACTTGCGCTGCCTGGAGCCCGGCGGCGCCGCGGAGCTGCGGCTGGACTCGCACCCGTGCGTGGAGGTGACGGCGGCGGCTCTGCGGCGGGAGCGGCCGGACGCGGGGCAGCCGGAGCCGGAGCCGGAGCCGGTGCCGGTGTGCACGCGGCCCTTCTCGCACTACGGCCAGGCCCTGTGCGTGCGCTTCCCGCAGCCCTGCATCGCCGGCGAGCGCCTGCGGGTGCAGCTCACCTACCGCGTCGGCGAAGGACCCGGGGTGAGTGCCCAGCCCCGCGCCGGCCCCTCCTCCCGCCCCTCCTCGTGCAGATGCGCTCCCGTCATCCCTTCCCACCTCCCCTCCCATCCCTCCGCCCCATCCTCATCCAGATGCTCCCCCCACCCTTCCCTCCCACGGCACCGCTGTCTCTAGTCCACGTCTGCCCGAGGAGGTCACCTCCTCCAAGCTGGACAGCAGACGGTTCACGAACAGAACTTAGGGTTGTCGCTGCGCTCGGCCTAGGCTGGGCCCTGGTGATGAGCTGCTCCGCTGTCCTCTAGGGCGGCCTGACAGTGCTGGCTGGTCACCCGCTGCTGACTCAGTCCTTTGTTGCAGGTGCCCTCCTAATGCCTTGGGCTGAAACAGCTCGAAACTGGGCAGTTAGTAGTGTTTCCTCCTGCGAAGTCCTGGGTTTGATGAACAAAAAAATCTGAGTAAAAGTGAGAACCAGAATTAGGGTGTACCAGGCTTTGCAATAACTTGGCTTTCTCTCTGTTGGTTGAGTCAAATCTTAACTGGGGGGCGGGGGGCGGCAAATGTTGTCGATCGGAAAGCGGAAGGTCACGTGTCCACATCTGTGACTGTCCGGGCGTGGCTGCCGGTCCTTTCTTGGATGGGGTGTGCTACAGGTCTCAGCTGGCTGCCTGCCTTCCACGGAAGCTTGCTTATTTGGGTGTACTTCCGCTTCTGCTGTTGCAGCTCTTCGCTCCAGGGGCAGTTCTGTTTCCATCTTTCACCATTCGGGAAGTAAATGAACCTTATGATAGAACTTGTTTAAAAAATTAAAGTCCAAAGCAATGTAGACGGACCTCCAAGGCAGAGGAGAAACCCAGGGACCTCTAGGGATAACATGCCATCTGGAAATGTGTTTGGTTGCTCTAGTATATTTTAGTTCCTGGTTTGGGGCAGAAATTAAATAGGATGAGTGGAAAAATTAGGCCCTCCTGGGTGTGCCTAACAAAAGTGGCACCCCAAATTAAATATCGGAGCTAAATAGCTTTCATTTAAGACGTGGTGGCAGAGATACACGCTTGACGAAGAACTGTCCTTTGCCCTGTGAAGGCTCCACTGGTGGCACTGTGCCTGTTCCTTCCTCTCATTGCCACCGTCCCAGGGAGGGCGCTCACCTTGGACACCGTGGGTCGCAGCATCTGCCTGACTTGGACTCTATAGTGTGTGTCCTGCCAGCCTCCTTCATTTTCTTCTCTTCATGTCAATAAAACAAAGCCGAGAACCAAAGAAAACTCAAGCAAAGATGACGAGAAGGAATTGTGGTTGAGGGGATGATAGTCAGTGTTTATTGAGCTAAGCCTGACAATAGTTACATGAGTTGTCGTTATGTAAAGTCCTAATACGGTGCCTGGTACCTCTTACTGCCGACTCATTACAGTTGTTTTCATTAATAGGATTTATTTTTTAAAAAGCTGTGTAGAGGACTTCCCTGGTGGTCCAGTGGCTAAGACTCCATGCTGCCAATGCAGGCGGCCCGGGTTCGATCCCTGGTCAGGGAACTAGATCCCACCTGCATGCCGCAACTAAAGATCACGCATGCCACAGTGAAGATCCTGCGTGCCGCGACTAAGACCTGGCGCAGCCTAAACAGATAGATATATAGGTGTCTAGATTGCCAGGAAAACTGAGCAGATAGTGCAGAGTCTCCATAAGCCGCTTCCACACACACACTGTTTACCCTTTACTAGCGTTTTACAAGTGGGATACATTTGTTACAGTTAATGAGACAGTATTGATACTTTATTATAAACTGGGATCCACAGTTTTTCCAGATTTCCTTAGTTTTTTTTTAAATAATAACTGATATTTATTGAGCGACTTTCATGTACAAGGTATTATTAGTGTTTTTTAAATTTTTATTTTATATTGGAGTATAGTTGATTTACAATGTTGTGTAAGTTTCAGGTGTACAGCAACCTTAGTTGTTTTTTTTTAAATTTATTTCATTTTATTTTTTTGGCCGCACGGCATGCCATGTAGGAGCATAGGTCCCCAACCAGGGATGGAACCCTTGCCCCCCTGCAGTGGACGCACGGAGTTATAACAACTGGACCGCCAGGGAAGTCCACAACCTTAGCTTTTTTTTTTTTTTTTTTTTTTTTTGGTACGTGGGCCTCTCACTGCCGTGGCCTCTCCCGTTGCGGAGCACGCGCAGGCTCAGTGGCCATGGCTTACGGGCCCAGCCGCTCCGCGGCACGTGGGATCTTCCCGGACCGGGGCACGAACCCATGTCCCCTGCATCGGCAGGCGGACTCTCAACCACTGCGCCACCAGGGAAGCCCCACAACCTTAGTTTTTAATGTGTCTTTTTCTGCTCCAGGGTCCCATCCAGAAATCCACTGTGTGTTCCGCTGTCACGTCTCCTTTGGCTCCTCTTGGCTGTGACAGTTTCTCAGACGTTCCTGTTGTGGTGACCTTGATAGTTTGGAGGAGTGTGATACCCTCTATTGGAATTTGTCTGTTGTTTTTCTCATGATTAGACTGGGGTTATGGAGGTTTGTTTGTTTTTCATAGACTATTTTTTAGAACAGTTCCGGTTTCGCAGCAAAACTGAGCAGAAGTTCACAGAGATAAGGTGTCATTTTTGTAACGTTGTAGTGAGGGCAACAGTGTTGACAGGATTTATGGCTGCTGTGCAAATATACCTCCGGTACCTTTATTTGCTGTGCAAATGTACCTCCGGTCTCCGGGCTGAGGCAGAGCTTGTTGGGTTTCTGCACCAGGACGTTCCTCTCTCTCCCCTGCTTCCGTCTGTACTGGACTCTGGAACGAGACTCATCACACACGCACACACACATTCTCAAGCAAAGAAAACCCCAGCATCCCATTGTGTCTCCCTTGTGCCTCTTAAAAATTGGTCTCAGGACTTCCCTGGTGGTCCGGTAGTTACGAATCTGCCTTCCAGTGCAGGGGACATGGGTTCCATCCCTGGTCGGGGAACTGAGATCCCACATGCCGCAGGGCAAGTAAGCCCATGCACCACAACTAGAGGGAAGCCCTCGTGCCGCAACTAAGACCCCACGCAGCCAAATTAATTAATAATTAATTTTAAAAAGAACAAGAGACACCTCAGGGAATGTTCTCGTCCTTAAACTTGAGTGTCGTTCCCAGGGGGGAGAAAATTGGTCTCCAGTGCCTCTGTGCTCAAAGCCCTTCATCACAGCTGCCGGGTGGGTGCCCACCTCTGCTGGAAGCTGCACTCCCCCGCGCCGTCCTCACGCTGCCGCCCGCCTCCTGGAGGGTCTCTCCTCCCTTTCCTTCCTGCCGTCTAAATCCTGCCCACTTTTGAAGGCCCAGCCAGGGAGTTTTGCTTCCCCTATGAAACCCTCCTGGAGCCACCTGACCCTGTTCTAACCTCTCCGTGGTGTGCGGTGCTGACACACACCCTCCTCACCCCCCGCGGTGGCATCTGTGTTACAGGTGAACTTCTCTTCGCTGTGGGCAGGATTTGGGTTTGTAAAAATCGTTCAGATGTGCTCTTGATTAAGGGCTGACAGAAGACAAGGCTCATAGCCAATGCCTATAATGTAAAACACGTTTATTCTGGACGGGTGGATTGGAGGGATGGAGAACACACATTAATCAGACTCCTTGCTGTTAGCTTCTGCCTTTCTGTGTCTTTTATCACAAGTTCAAGAACAGCTTATTCAGTATTTGTTTTTTGGTGAGAAGTTACTACAGCGGGGGGGACAGAGGAGGGAGGCAGGGCCAGGGGGTCGGAGGCCACCCCAGGAATGCTTGAGACGGCCCATGGGACACACAGAGGAGTGGCCCTTTGGTGCTGTCCACCCTGGGAAGTGGACGTCAGACCTTGGCCTGGACTCCAGGGGGATTAAATACACAGGGGGAGAGAGCGTCGCGGTCTGAGCTGGACTGGCGGGCGGAGGGTCCTGAGGGTTGCCTCAAGCCTCCCCTCCGGCCAGCTCCGCCCGGCCGCGCTGCGCTTGTGCAGGGTGTCAGTGCAGGGTGTCAGTTCCCAAAGGGCCTTGCCTCCTCTTAGGTTTGCTGGTTGGCTCCGGAGCAGACAGCAGGAAAGAGGAAGCCGTTCGTCTACACGCAGGGCCAGGCTGTCCTGAACCGC